CATCCCCCATCTCCCAGGTGAGACAGGAAGGCAAGAGAGTGTTGGAATTCCCCTGGAGAGTTGGCTCTCAGGGAAAATGTTCTGTACATATTTCACAAAGATCACCCTATTCCTCCTGCTGCCAAAGCCATGAGGGGAACTTTCTGGGATCTTCTCCCTGGAAACATGGTAGGTTCCTGAAAGTATTAATAAAACCCCCAGGCATGGCACCCCCTGAGTCTGCAGCCCTCAGAAGCATATCCCTCTCACACGGGTCTACACTCAGCCTTCAGCAATTTGTCAAAATGACCACTGAAGTATTCCTCTCCTCCCAGCTTGTGGCTCCAGGGCCTTTGATGTTAGCAGGTCTTGACTGTGTTTTCTGGAGTCTCCAGTCTCTCTTGGTTTTGAAGTGGCAGTTTGCTCCAAAACTCGATTCTCCAATGGGTCTGAGAAAAGTCATTATTTCAGTTCGTCCAGCTTTTTCTAGGTGCAAGGGCAGAAATGACAACTTCCAGGATTTTTACATGTCAGAGTTGAAATGAGAAGTCTCCTAGGCGGCCAGGCATAGTGGCTCACGCCTGTTATTCCAGCACTTGAGCCCAGAAACCCAGACTAGCCTGGACAACATAGCAAGACCTCATTTCTACAAGAAATTTTAAAAATTGGCTGGGCTTAGTGATGCACACCTGTAGTCCCAGCTACCTGTGCACACCTGCATTCCCCCCCCACCCCGGAAAACGCACCCATGGATGGCACCTAACAAGCCCCATTGTGGACTTTCTAGCAAGGCCGGTGTCATGTTTCCTACCCTGGAAGAGTTTGGTAAATAGTTCCTAATAAACCACACATACGTATTTGACGGTCAGTGAACTGGTACCCGGGTCCCCTATCCTAGGGCATGCACGGTGCGGTGCCGTCCGGGCTCCGGTGTGGGGGATATAGGAGGCCGTAGAAAGGGAGCGGGAGGGGACATCAGGGAGGCCACTGAAGGAGACGCACTCTGCGGGAAACGGGGCGAATCGACGGTGCCCAGCGGGTCACCTCGGGACAGCCGCTGCCCCGGGCCAAGGGCGCGCGGGGTGCAGGAGGTCCGTGAGAGTACGGGGGTTTGGCTCCGGCGTGTACGCCCCCCACCCTCCACACGGTTTCCCAGGCCCGTCTGCAGAGCTCCCACGCGGCGCGCCGCGCCGCAAGCCTGGGGATACAAGCAGGGGATTTGGGCGCGTCCGCCCCCTCCCGGCAGGGCGGAGCCTCGACGGCCGGGCGGTAAGAGCATCCGCCAGGGGTGGGTTGGTTCCAAGACTCACAAACACTGACAAGTTACAATGTGTCGATTAAAAAATTAAAAATGAACTTTAAAACAAGGTGGACTGAAGTTGAAAGACCTGTCAAAATCACATCCAGACAAGGAGCGACCACAACCCTTTTAAAAAGAGTCCCCGCTAAGCCAGGAGGATCGCTTGAACCCAAGGAGTCCCAGGCTGCATCGCTGAACTCTAGCCTGGGCAACAGAGAAACCCAATCCCTTCAGGAAAAAAAAAAAAAAAAAGTAAGGCTGCACGCAGTGGCTCACAACTGTAATCCCAGCACTTTGGGAGGCCAAGGCTGGAGGATCACTCGAGCCCAGGAATTTGAGGCTGCCATGAGCCATGATTGCATTACTGCACTCCAGCCTGGGTGACACAGCAAGACTCTGCCCCTTTAAAAAGTATATATGAGTGGTAGGGATCCTTGTCTGGCACAAGATGGCACAGGCCTCATTGGGTTAAGCAGCCCAAGCTGCAAAGGACTGCTAACCAGAATCATCATAGACCCACTGATGCAGCATCACGACAAGCTGCCCACATTGTCCCATTTTATAGGTGATAAAATGGAAGCATAGAGGAATTCAATAATATCCCTAGACATGGAGGTGTGATCCCAGGACTGTGGTCACCAGATCCTGACCTCCTAACTGCTGTGCTGATAAAGTCCCTGGTGCAGGACTGGGTTGGAGGAGGGAAAAGAAGCAAATGCACCATATCTGTTAGGGGCAAGGCATGTGCAGGAGTCCAGGAAACTTAGGCTCCAGCCCCTCATGTGGGGAGGACAAGATAAGAACTCACTACCAGCCAGTGTGACTGTTACATGACCCCACGTCCTCCACACCAATCCCTTGCCTATGTTGAACAAAATCCCCCAAGCCCCTCTGCTGGGGATAGGAGCTAAGAAGTGACTCTCTCATTGCCTCCTCTTTCCACAAACCAACCCATGACTACATCCCCTCCTCCACTTCCTCACCTCCTTCTCATAGAGTTCTTCACTCCAGAGCTCGAGTCTGAGCTACAGTCCAAGTGCCTTGTGGGAGTTGCCTCTATTACCTTCTGCAAGGACAAATTAGGCTGCTACACCCAGTGACTCCCTTCTCCCCTGTGGACAAGGAATCAGTATACCCCCACTGTGCCTCAGTTTCTCCCGTGGACAATAAACGTGTTATCTACCACTGTGTGTGGTTAAGCATATGTGTGCTTAAATGTGTGTGGATGAGTACAAGCCTCCCTGTTTAGGGTGGGTGGGTGGGAGGGTACACTGGCCGTGGCTTCTGTTCCCTTCCACCTGGGGGAAGCACTGTCTCTCTAACCTTGTGGGTCTCTCCAGGCACTGCCTGGTCTGGTGTGACTTCACAAGGAGACTGCCCAGCCCTCCCTCTCTGGGCCTCCTCTGCACCAGGAACCTCACCTTGCCACCTGCCAGAGACCAGGTGGGACAGGCAGCACCAACGTGTCACCTCAGAAAGCCACCTCAGGAAGGCTATAGTCCTAATAATGTATCACATAAAGGAAATTTGCTGAGAGTAGATTTTAAGTGCTGTTTCCACAAAAAGGGGATATGCTAATTTGCTTAACTAACCATTTCAGTGTATATATCAAAACATCATGCTGTACACCTTTAGTATGTCTAATTTTTAAAAAATGTAAAACCCACTCGCCCAGAATAGCCGCTTCCCTGGCAATAAGGGAAATATCTTAGCACCCACCCACCAGGTCAGGAAAGGCAGACTCGAAGACGTGGATAGCACATCATGGACTCAGGAGTGTTGGGTACACAGTGGTTCCTGATGGCCCCACTGGGTTCAAGACAGCAAGATAGTGCTCTGCCTGTTTCCCTCCAATTGTTGGCCTTCACGCTGCCCCTCCTTGGCCTCCAAAGTTTCCAGTCCTCCTCCCTGGCAGCACCTCCTCCCTTGGCTAACTCCTCCTCAACCTAGCTCTGAACACAATACACCCCAAGTGCAGCTCAGGCCAAACAAAGCCTTCTAGCTCTTCTCCTCTGAGGTCTCTGATATCACACCCTCCTCCCCCAACCTGCAGGTCCACATAACTCAAAACCCTTCCACCCACAGCCATCAAGCCTCGTCTTGGAAGTCACATGTCATTATATCTTAATTGCAGACACACAATGGAGAACTCTGAATATAAGTATGTCCTAAACACTGCAGGCGACAAAAGCCACTGTCCACCTTTAATTCAAGTTTAAGTGGCTGTGCTGTTTGCTTACTTGGTAGTACCAGCCTCCCTACATCTCCCTCCCCGACTCATGCTCACAACCAGGCACATCCAGGACCCTACGTCTCTGGAACCCTCACTCAGCTCTGACAGCGCCCACTCAGTCCTACAGGCCCCTCTGCACCAAGCCTTCCCCAGCACCCAACACCTCTCACAGCATGGTCCCACAGAGCACCAAGCCCTCCCCTGCTCGCCCACACCCAGACGGTGCACAACACCTTGAACCATCCCAACAACCCCAGCTCGCCCCATCTACTCCCATGCCTCCCTTTCCAACCACGCCATCTAAGGAGCTCCACCTTGCCTGAGGTTCCCTCCCTAACCCTGCCTCATCCCCCACCCGTCTTTCTTCCTCCAGCAGGAACAGTAAATGTTACTGTTACATAAACTATTTTATTTAAATAAGTCAGGGCAGACCCTTCCCACACACACACCAGCACATGCGCACGCACACCCACATTTTCCCACAGCTCTCCACCATGGCCACCTCCAACCTGAGGTTCTCATCGTGACCATCTTCTCCACACAGGGTAATGAACCCACTCCCACCACACCAGCAGTATAGCCAGGCCAGGGTTCTCCTCTCTTGGGAACGCAGGAAGAAGGACCAGCTCTCCAGAGCTACCAGACCTAGTGTGGCTCCCCACATACGGAAGCCTGGCCAGGTCTCTCACCCCAGCCAATCCCCCTGCCCCAGAGTAGGTAAGAGCCCAGGCAGCTCAGCCTGAGTCTCCCAAGGGCTCCTGGAGCAGCATCACTCAGGGAAGAGTAGGGGAGTGAGTGAGCACCAGGTTCCCAGACCCACCTTGGAGGGGCCAATTCGGGTCAGCATCCCCCACCAGAAGTAAACACAGTCGAGCAGCAAGTGAGGGGTGGGAACGAGGGCCTATGCCTTCAGGACCTCATCCTACCTGCACCCCAACATGGACCTTGAGGGACCACTAGCACCTTGGTAATGGTAGGGACTAGCCCAGCTGGGGACACACCATGCACGCAGGAGCGGTCTGAGTTGGTGATGCTCCCTGTGTCAACAACAGGGTGGGCCTCTCTCCCCAACACCATATTGTGTGAGTCCTGCCCTGAAGCACGCACAGCAGAACAGCTCAGGTCCCAAAGGCAAGTGTGGACAGGGCACATCTTCCACCTTACAGGTGACACTCAGGCAGGTTGCACAGGACAGGCTGCAAGAGGCTCAGCAGAACCTCCAGGGTGCCCTCCAGAGTTGCCCTAAAAAGTAGGCAGGACCAGGAACCAACTGGGGCTCCTGTCCATCTGGTCAGGCCAGTACCCAGACCCAGCACCCGTTGTCTGATGAGGTTCCCTATGCCTTCCAGACCAAGTTCCCTGAGGGAAAAATCCCGAGATGGAGGGAGAGGACAGACAAAACGAGGAAAGCAGGGCGGGCCCTGCAGATACAGAGCCAGCAGGAGGGAGACAAGTAAGCCTTCCAGATGGTAAGGCGAGGAGACAGCTGCCTTCCGAGGGAGGGAGGTGAGAAGGCAGGGCACGCAAAGGACCACTCTCCCCAGAAGCACTGGAGAAGGTCCCCCCCCGGGAAGACAGGACCCAGAGGACAAGTGAGAAGGTTGTGGGGCCCTGACCGGACCATGGTGGGAGACGCAAGCCAGAAGCCCTGGCCACGGGGCTACAGGCTGACGCTACGCTGGTGGCGCCCCCCACGAACCCCACCATCACTGCCCCGGCGACCTCCACCCCGGGGTCCCAGCTCTTGGCCATCCAGACTGGCGTGGTCCGAGAGGCCCCGCAAATGCTCCACCGAGTCACACTTCTGCAGGTCCGAGGCCACGGTACGCAGGCTCAGCAGGCTAAGGGTGTCCGTGTCAGGGGCAGGGCCGGGCCCCAGGCTGCCGCCCTCTTCCAAGCCCCCACCCTCAGCCCCCTCGATCCCGCTGTCCCCATCCTCGATGTCCTCAGGTCCCGCTTCAGCCCCTACAGGGGAGGAGCGCCGGGCGCCCAGGGCGTGAGGGGGAAGGCCACGGCGCCGGGCGTGAATCTGCTCGCTGATCTGCTCCAGGTTGCGAAGGGCCACTGAGTAGCGGGTCTTGGCCTGGGCCACCTGCTGCTCCAGCTCTGTCACCTTGGCCTTGTGCTCCTGCAGGGGACGGCAGAGCAAGGCGGCCCTGGGCATCTCCGCTGACTTGGCACTGGCACCAAGGTCTGCGGTTGCCCTCCCAGGGAATTCATCCTCACCACAGTTCACAACACCCTCCCCAAGGCTTGGTCCTCTAGTTGTCCTGACCTGAGCCCACCTTCCAGAGCCTTCCTCCCAGGCCTTCATTCCCAGCAGCTCCTTCTCTTCCAGATGCTCCCTATCACCATCTGACTAGGCCTTGTTCCCATTCCCTGGTCTCCATGCTCTCCCTTTCCTCGTTTTCCTCCTTTCTTCAGCTACATACTCTGCTGTCACCAGACCCCATGTCTTCCTCCAATCCTGCAGGGGTATTCTCAGCACGCTGGGCCACCACCCAACCCCACCACGGGAAGCTCGGGCAGAAGTCTCGCCCTGCCCACTATACCAGGACAGCCCAGAGGCAGGGAAGTACGGCCTCCATCTACCCTCACTCCCCCACCTGTCTCAAGCCTGCCCCTTCCTGCTTCCCCGCCGGACGCCACCCCCTTCCTGCACCCCACCTACCCTCTTTCTGCATCCCCGCCTGACCCCACCTACCACCTTCCTGCATCCCTGCCTGCCCTCCACCTGCCCCTTCCTGCACCCCCACCTGCCCCCTTCCTGCATCCCCACCTGCCCTCTTCCTGTAACCCCGTGTACACCCCACCCCATACCTGCACACCTCTTACCCCACCTAGCCCTTGCCTGGCCCCACCTGCTCGTTCTGCTTCCCCTCCCACTCAGCTACCTCCAAGATCTGGCTGAACTGGGCCTTGAGCTCGAAGTAGGGGCGGCTCTTGCCGATGGCCCGCCGGAGGGTCTTCTGCAGGGCCTGGACCCGAGCCTCAGCCTGCTGGCACAGCCGCGTCACCCGCTGGTGCTCCCTCTCGCCTCGAAGTCGCTCTTCCTCTGCCTCATTAACCTGGCCCCAGGGGACACAGTCCCTGAGCTGGGACCCACGCTTCAGTCCCTGGCATCTGTCCCTGGCTGCCAACCTGAGCACTGCCCTGGGGGACCCAAACAGGAGCATCCTCTGCGAGCCCTTGCCAAGTACAGAGCCCAAGTCACACAGGACAGTGGGCCATGAGCCTCTAGATGGCATCTCTCCCTTTTACCTGTTGCCTTCTCTCTCAGCACCCGAGGACCATGCCTCAAGCACACATCTCTGCAGCCACCTCCTCCCATGCCCTCACCTACTGTCACCTGCACTGCTGGCCACAGGTCTGTCACTGCCGGGAAAGGGGTTTTAGAGCCTCTCAACTGCTTGTGAGCTTCACAGGAAGGGCTGTATGAGCACATATGCAGCTGCCACTGTCCTGGGGGAGCCTCACTGTCAGCAGCCAGGCGTTGAGAAGCAGGAGGAGGTCCTGTATGCCAGAATCTCCAGGACTCCATGGCTCACCTGTGTGGCCAATCTGCCCTTGTAGCCCCACCTCAGGGGTTACTCTGCACTGTGCACTATCACTTGATGCCCACCCCATAGGATTTGTCACTCTGTAAGCTCCCTGCACAAGCTCCAAGGCAGAAGTGGAGGCCTGTTCTATGAGGGGCACATGAAGGCTCTCAAGATGCAGCCACTCCCACCCCAGGAGCTGACACTTTCCCTATGCACACCGAAGGTGGCAGACAGCCAATATCAGAGACCCACCCGCTCCCCAGTCCCATTGCAGGAGCTTGGAAATGACACACACATTTTGCTTCAAAGCCAGGGTGCACTGACAGAGTCACAGCAGGAAAATGAGCACACTCTGAAACAGAAGGGAGTCACAGCTAAACACAAAACAGGGATGTCGAATGCAGAGCATCCGCCAGAGAGGGATGCTTGGGGGAGTCCCACAGCTGGAGGCAAAGGTCCCCAAGGAGCCCAGGATGACACTTCAAGCCAGAGGGAGGTGATATGTGGGAAGCACTGGAGGCCCATGGGTCAAGGGCTAGGAGCAGGTAATGCCTGAAACAGAGTCAAGGCCAAGGGAAAGCCAGCGTGGAGGACAGGAAGGACAGAGGGGGTGGCAGTAAGGGGCAGCAGAGGAGGCACAAGACCCAGTAAAGGGACCTGCCAGTGTGCCTGGCTCACCTTGCAGGTGGCATGGTTGAGCATCTCCTGCCACGTGGGGTCCAGGCGGTTCTTGTCGGCCATGACGCCCTGCTCAGCCACAAACACCATCTCCCTGGCGGCATTGTGCATGCTCACAGCCCGCTCGTAGCGCAGTGCTGCCTTCTGTGTCTCCTGCTGAGCCTGGGAGGAGAGGGCCACAAGGACAGGGAGCTCTGAGGGGCCCCAGCTACCCATGGAGACCCATCACAGGCATGAGGACAAGAGGAGGAGGAAGGCACACGTAGAATGCCATCTTCACTGTGCCAAGAATAAATGCCAACAGAGCAACAGGCTATAAAGAATATTTCATAAGTATGTGAGCTAGGAGAAGAAATAAACATAGAAATAAATATTTAAAAGAATGCTACTGCAGGCAAAGGGTGAGTGCGTGAAATCCAGCACTGCTGATCTTTTGCCCTAGGGAAAACAAAGGAAAATCCAAACCATTTTAGGTGGAAGGTGGCTGGCGACATGAATGGAGTCTTACAGAATATAGGACCCTGAGACCATTAATCCATGTCCAGAAGGCAAGCTGAAGGAAATAATCAGGCAAATGCTCAGAGATATTCATGACAGTTTACTAACCAAGCAAAAAACTGGAAACAAAACTTTTCAGTTACAGAACATTGGTCACATAGCAGTACATCTAATATGGGAAAATAAGCAGGTATGTGGCTGGTGCCTACAATCCAATACTCAGGGAGGAAGAGCACTTGAGGCCAGGAGTTCAAGACCAGCCTAGACAACATAGGGAGATCCCATGTCTACAAAAAAACTAAAACATTAGCCAGGTGTGGCAGATCATGCTTGTAGTCCCAAATACTCAAGAGGCTGAGGCAGGAAAATTACTTAAGCCTAGGAGGTAAGCCTGCAGTGAGCTATGAACACACCACTGCATTCCAGCCTGGGCAACACAGCAAGACTGCATCTCTAAAAAGTAAGGTATTAAAGTGGCCATGCCATAAGAAATAAGATAGACAAGTGGGACCTCATCAAACTGACAAGCTTCTGCAAAGCCAAAAAACCACTGAGAACGGGGAGACAGCTCAGCCCACAGACTGGGAAAAAATATTTGCTAAGGGTATATCTGACAAAGGCCTAACATCTAGCATCTACAAGGAACTCAAACGTGCTGAAAAGGAAAAAAAAAAAAGCCCCTTCACAAAGTGGGCAAAAAATATGAATAGGCACTTCATACAAGCAGCTAATAAATACATGAAAAAATGCTCAGCCTCACTAGTCATCAAAGAAATGCAAACTAAAAACACACTGAGGTACCACCTAGCTCCAGTCAGGATGGCCATCATCAATAACTTAAAAAACAACAGATGCTGGAGAGGATGTGAGGAAAAGGGAACACTTCTACACTATTGGTAGGAGTGTAAACTAGTACAGTCTCTGTGGAAAACAGTGTGGCGATTCCTAAAAGATCTAAAAATTGACCTCCCATACAACCCCACAATTCCCCTACTGGGAATATACCAGGAGGAACTCAAATCACTCTAAGAAAAAGATACCTGCACACGCATGTTTATTGCAGCATTATTTACAATAGTAAAAACATGGAACCAACCATCTAAAGGGGACTGAATAAAAAAAAAGTGGTATATATACACGATGGAATATTACGTAGCCACAAACAAGGACAAAATTATGAACTTTGCAACAACTTGAATGGACTTAGAGACTATAATACTGAGTGATCTATCACAGAAACAAAGAACTGAGTGTCACATGTTCTCACTCATCAGCAGACCTTGAACAACTATTGCAATACTATAAGAAAGGGATTGGCAGTAGTGGGAAACTGCCAGGGGAGGGAGGGGCGTACCTCATCAACAAGGGTACCTACATAATGAACACTTGTATACCTAACCCTGAATTATACCCCACACATTAAAAATTAAAAATTAAGTATTAATCAGTTCGTTAAAATGTGGCACAGTGGCTCACATTTATAATCCCAGCACTTTGGGAGGCTGAGGGGAGAGGACTACTTGAGCCCAGGAGTTCGAACCAGCCTGAGGAACATAGCAAGACTTTGTCTCCACAAAAAAATAAAATTAGCTGGGCATGGTGGTACACATTTGTTGAAGCTGAGGTAGGAAGATCATCTGAGCTCAAGAGGCTGAGGCTGCAGCGAGCTATAATTGTGCCACTGCACTCTAGTGTGAGCAACAATAAGACTCTCACATGCCAATCAGTAAATCCCCTGCCCTAAATCACCTGGGGCCAAGTACTGGACAGCTAGAGAGCACCCCCAGCCTGCCACAATTACTCAGCTCTCCCACCCTTAACTCCCTCAAACTCATCTACCCTGCCCATCCATTCTTTCCCATGAATACCCCAGCAAAGACTGTGCTTTCTGCTTCACTTCTTCTGCTTTGCTGCTTCTGCCTCAATTGGCTCTGGTGGCTCCTCAGTTTGGCCCTGTGACAGTGTGTCCCCCACTTGGGAATAAGCTTTTCTTCCAAGGCAGGTTTCTGTCACTTCACCATACAAGAGTAAAACAAATCCCAGGTGCAAGCATCACAAACCACATTCGTGTTGGGATTTGCGGCGATTCTGGTTTTCTTGTGTTTAATGACAATTTTCCAATGGTGAATAACATATTATTTGTGTAAAGAAAAAGAGGGTTGGGTGGGTAAGGGGTAGGGGTAAGCAAAGAAAAGATGCATAAAAGAGAGACATGAATCAAAGGGAGGAGATGTAAGAGAGGGGAAATGGGAGAAGATGAAACAGCAAGACGTCAGACCAATGCCCCTAAGACTGGCTCCTCACATAGAAGACACTCGGCCCTCAGCAGAAGCTCTGGCCTGGTCTCTGCCCTCAAGTCTGGAGTTTAACCTCCCACTCCAACAGAGACAGGAGAGCCCAGAGGAGGCTCTATGGGCAGCCTTCCCAGGTGCAGGTCAGCAGATATACCTCCTTAGCCAGCCGCCGGGCCTCATAGTAGGGCCGTGCCTTCTCAATGCAGCTTCCCAGGTGGGAGCCCTGCGTGTTGAGCTTCCTCGCCGACTCCTGCAGGATTCTCCGATAAGTGGTCCTGGCCTCCTGGCAAAGGGGCAGAGCAGAGGGAAGGCAAGTGTCTGGGTCCTGTCCCACCCGCCACTGTCTCAATCTGGGAAAGAGACAGTCCCAGGGACCAGCCCGAGGGTGTAAGACAGGGAGGACACTCACGTCCAACTGCAGCTCCACCTGGTTGATCTCCTCACTAGCTTGGTTCAGGTGCTCCAGCTCCTCCTGCCGCAGAAAGGGGAGGCACATTAGCAAGTGAATGGCACAGGGCAGAAGCAACGATAGAGAGAAGCCCCACCGGGAAAGGAGAGAGAAGGGAGGAAGAGACTGGTGTGTCAGTACCCTAACTCACAACACCTCACATCCTCCTCACAACTCTACCTTGTTCCAGGTAGTGAAGGCCCAGTGTTTTTTGTTTCTTTTTTGAGTCAGAGTCTCACTCTGTCGCCCAGGCTGGAGTGCAGTGGCACGCTCACAGCCACCGCAACCTTGACCTGCTGGTTTCAGGCGATCCTTCTGCCTCAGCCTTCCATGTAGCTGCAACTACAGGCATGCACCACCATGCTTGGCTAACTTTTTGATTTTTATTGTAGAGATGATGTTCTGCCATGTTGCCTAGGTTGGTCTCAAACCTGTGGGCTCAGGTAATCCTCTTGCTTCAGATTCCCAAAGTGCTGAGATTACAGGCGTTAGCCACCGCACCAGGCTTTTTTAAATTTTTTTTTATTTTTTTAGTCGAAGTCTCATTCTGTCACCCAGGTTGAAGTGCAGTGGCACACTCACAGCCACAGCAGCCCCGACCTGCTGGGCTCAGATGATCCTTCTGCCTCAGTCTTCCAAGTAGCTGGAACTACAGGCATGCACCACCATACCCAGCTACTTTTTTTTATTGATTCATTGTAGAAACGAGTTCTCACCAAGTTACCCAGGTTGGTTTTGAATCCCTGGGCTCAGGCAGTCCTCTCGCCTCTGCCTCCCAAAGTGCTGGGATTACAGGCGTGAGCTACCGTGCCCCAGTGTTAAGGACATGGAATTATGGTTGGAGCACGAGCACGCAACACGAATGTGCACACAGTGAAGGAGCAGTGAGCCTTCGCACTCTCCATCAGATTGCACCATTCCCTCAAAGTGGTAGGGGTTTCCTTGGACCTGGGGGCTCTCTTTACAGAGAGGACGGTGGCCAGAACCGGGGATGGCCACTCGGTCACCACACATTTACTGCATACTCATCATCCCTCAGCACCATGAGACCCAAAGAGGGCACAGAGAGGGCAGCTTCCAGTCAGTGAGGAAGTCCAGCAAGGAAGCCACAGGCCCGGGCAGCATGTGAAGCCTTACAAGGCGTAGTCATGGTACCTCTGGGAGCCACAGTCACTCACCACCTGGGAACAGAAGGGCGGGCAGGATGCTTGGAACACTTGCCCTCTAGCTGGGACCTGACAGAAGCACCAGCAAAGCAGGGAGGGCAGGGACCCAAAGGGAAGCAGGTGCCCAGGCAGATAAGATGGCAGGGGACATGCAGTGAGGTTGGGGGACCATGGGAGGGATATTGGATCTTTCTGCAATGGCAAAAGGGTCTCTCAGAGCCTGGAGCCACTTAGTCTGTCATTTAGGAAGGCAGATCTGAGTGGCATGAGGAAAGCCTGATGTGCCTGGGAAACAAATGTGGAGGCTGTCTACAGTATTCCAGGTGGGAGAGAAGGCAGGTTCCACAGAAACACAGGACAGAGTCACAAGGGCTTGTTAATGATGAAGGTCATAGAGGAGTACAGGATCCTAGAAGCCTCTAGGCAATGTGTCCCCCAGGTCCCCACACAGCAGAGTCTGAGGGAGGGGCAGACAGAATTGAAGAGAAGTTGCCAGACACACAGGTATGAATATCATGCTGGCCCCACGCTGAAGACAAGCAAGGAACCATACTAGGCTTCCCGCAAAGCAGCAGAGCTAGAGGGGCACTGCCTCAAGTTATCCTCCATGCCAAGAACAAACAGTGTTGGCCTGAGCCAAGGCCCTGCCCTGGAACATACCTGGTGCTCAGCTACAGATACGCCTCCATGAGCCCTGCAGCCTCTGCACAGGTGATAGGGCCCAATATGTCTGCCTGATGCCCAGATGAGACATGCACTTGGCAGTAGCACCGCAATCACTCTACTCCATACATATGGGTGCTGGCCCCATTCACCTCACTCGGCCACCCAGCACCCAGTGGGAGGCCAGGCAGGTATGCACAAGCTCCCCTTGGTCCTTTCATGTCTATACTCCCCTTGCTCCCACCTTGATTCTGGAAAGACTCGGTCAGTGTGTAAGAATACAGGGCACCAGTCACATGACTTCATGACAGTAGAAGGAAGATCATAAAGGCAGAGGCCCACAAGGAACCAGGAAGGTGGATGTGAAGACATACACTCCTATAACAGCAAAACGCTGCCCCAGGAGAGCCACATGTGTGGCTGGAAACTTCTTCGAACAGAGCTGTCCAACAGAAGATAACAGGAGCCAGCACACATGGAACTTTTAATTTTCTAGTAGCCATGCTTGTAAAAAGTAAAACAGGTGTGAAATCTAACAATATATTTCATTTAACCTAATATATCCGAAATATTATCATTTCAACATGCAATCAAAATAAAATAGTATTAACCACACTTGTACTTTTTTAAAACCTAGGGCTTCAAAACTCACATGCACTTGACCCTTAGAACACATTTCAGGCAAGGTGTGGTAGCTCACACCTATAATCCCAGCACTTTGGGAGGCCGAGGTGAGAGAACTGCCTGAGCTCAGGGGTTTGAGACCAATCTGGGTAACTTGGTGAGACCTCATCTCTACAATAAATAAATTTTTTTTTTAAATTAGCCAGGCATTATGGTGCATGCCTATAGTTCGAGTTACTTGGAAGGCTGAGGCAGAAGGATCACCTGAACCCAGCAGGAGGAGGCTGCAGTGGCCGTGAGCATGCCACCGCACTCCAACCTGGGCAACAGAGTGAGACTCCAACTAAAAAAAAAAAAACAGCACATTTCAACTTAGACAGTGGCTCCTGTACTGGGTGGCACGGGTCTAGAAGTGGATACATATGGGGAACCTGATTAGTCACACAACCCAGTGTCCATACCATAACAACAAACTGTTCTAAGACCACAGGCAGCCCACACAGCTCATGGGCCCAAAGGAGAGTTGGGGGCAGTGTCAACACTGCCAGACACAGCACCTTCCTCACAGGGACATCGCCATCAGCTGACAGAATCACCCTAAAAGGTCCTCCAAAGAGCAATTCCTGTCAGGATGAGAAACCACCTCCTTCCCTGTGGGTTAAACTTTCTATGGTTCAACTTATCCCTAGGAGCTTCAGGCTATCTGGAGAGGAGGAGACCAGCCCTCTCAGCAGTTCCTGCTGTAATATTCTTCCTCAGCTCCCTCAATGGACGAGAAATAATGAGGTGGGGAATCGGGCAGAGTTAGGTTTGGATCCAGGACCTGACCTTTCATCTCGCCTCTTGCCACAGTGACCACCTTCCTGAGTCTGAAGACAGCCCTGGAGGAACACCTCAAAAAGATAGAAGTGCTATAACCTCAGAAAACTGTAACCCAGGTAGGAAAAGGGTCTCAAGAATGCAGTAGACATAGACACCAGGGAAGGAGAGGAGGAGGAAGGGAAAGGCCCATGCGGTCTTCACGAAGGCAAACCGAAGTCCACAGCCAGATCTCCCAAAGTGTGCCCAGTCCCCAGCTCCCAGCCTCTGACAGATTAAAAGAAATGACTGGTTCAGCATAAGGTGTCTCCACCAGAAAAGGATGAGGAGTACAATAGAGGGAGTGGCATTATCTTTCTACGGGGGCCAGCACCCCAACTGCACCTCTAGCAATTAAGGAAAGCAATGTGTTAGTGGGGTCCCTCCTCAGTCACAGAGCTCTCCAGCAGGATAAGGAGATGCCTGGGGTAAGAGAAGCCTGAAGGCAGAGAAATATGAGAGACGAGGGACAGCTAGGCTGGGGCACACCGGGGCAAGGATGAGCAGGAAGCCACTGAGGACTGGGGCACTGTTTTGGGCAGTCAGTGACACATTCCACTAGCCTGCTTCACTGGGACTCCTGGCATGCAGCTGTGATGGAATTTGGGAGGACAGTCTGAGTCAGCATGCATCATCACCATCAGTGTGCCAGCAGCCAGCAGGGAGGTGACCTTCCTGGAGCACACGGGTGCATTCCCCAGATGCCAGGACACTGAGTCAAAGGCGTGGGCACTCGGGCCACAGGCGCTCCCGCTCCACCTGGTGCAGGCCATTAGAAGAATCACACTGATGGTCAGCAAGTAGGGTCAGGGTGACAACCATACTGCAATGGCTAAACCCACCTTCTGAATGAGGACAGAGGGTGAAAAATCACCCTGAAGACTCTGTCTGGAGAGGAGTAGGTGAGTGAGTGTATCCACATGTCTGTGAATATGCCCATCACAAAGGAGTCTGAGGAAGTTTCAGGGGAACAGACCCAGGTCCACCTAACACCATACTCCTTTCTTCCTTCCCTTCTTTACCCTACGGGACCTTTTCTCAGAAAGCCGAGGACCAGCCTAGAGGATACGGAGAACTCCGTTGAGGTTATAGCATGGAGTGGTCTTCCTTGGGGCTACAGCACACCCCAGGTGGATATCAGTTGGTCTCCTCCCAATGTCCAGAGGGATCCCACCAGAAAATGGGCATGAGCAACCCCAGCGCCATGATGAGAGACCTGCCCTGAGAGCAGTCATTTCTGGGAACTTTAGAAAATCCCTGACAGGGCTCCAGCCTTGGCATACACTTGCTATATGGAAGGCTAAGAAGGAAGGATCGCCTGAACCCAGAAGGTCGAGGCTGCAGTGGCCATGAGCATGCCACTGCACTCCAGCCTGGTGAACTCAACCCTGCCTGCACATTAGAATCACTTCTCACTCCACCCAGATGATGAGAAGCCACATGTCTGGCAAGGTTCAGGAAAGTGTTTTTAGAGCTCCCTGGTGGGTTTTGATGGATCTGTGGGTGGAAACCCAGGAAATGCTGAGAATGCAGAGAAATGAGCACCCATTTAAAGCACTGAAACACATTATCAGAGTGGTGTGGTCTGGTGCAATGTCAGCACTAAAAGCGACCTCAAAAGACACACCCTTTATGACATAGGGCTAGAAAGTCAAAAAAGATAAATAGATAAGTAAGTTTAAAAAAAAAATCTCTTCCTCTGGCTCTGAAGAGCCACCCAAACACAGGGGGCAAAACATCACCAGCCTCCCCCATGAAAGATGTACGCACCAGGCTTCCCCTCCTGCGTGGCAGGAAGACACCAACTCCCTGCTGAGGCTGGACCCCCACTCACCGTGCCTGTCATCAGAGGGAGGCACAGCAGACCTCCCTCCCCAAGAACCCTCACGCTCCACAAGAGACTGGGGTCTGGATCACACTCCATGCACCTGTAACACTATGATTTCACAGGAAGCAAAGGGAGTCCCAAGCCTCCTTGGCAGACGCTGAGCCTCAGAGCTCATCCCACAGAGCTACCTGTGGTGACGGAATATTCTCTTTCTGCACAGTCAGCTCAGCACTCGGGAGCTGTGTTTTTAATTTTTATTAACTGTATTTAAGTAGCCACATGCTGTCGGCTGGACAGTGCAGATCAAGTGCAGCTCCACACTACTGTCTTTGCCTGTGCAAACACCAGAAAACACAGGTACAGCGGAGGTCAAGTAGAGAGGCCACGTGAACTCTCCTCTGGTGCAGCCTCCCCTAGAGCAGCCTCCTCTGGAGAAACTCCTCTGGAGCCACCTCCTCTGGTACAGTTTCCCCTGGAGCCACCAACTCTGGAGCACTGCTGCATATGATTGCATCATGTGTTTCCCAAGTCACAGAGGAAAGTCTGCTTTTCCAGAGCACTTGCTACAAAGTGTCACTGAGGAATAAGCAGAAAAAGTTTGCAGAAGAAAAGAACTGCAGAGCTGCATCTAAGCAGAGCAAGAATGAGTACAGAAATGGGCTAGACCAACCGCTCACTGTGCAGATGAGGAAACTGAGGCTCAGAGAGTTAGGTAACTTCCATAAAAATCACAGAGCATGGGGCTGGAGGTTGCCTGACTTTCAGTCCAAGAGTTTTTATTTCCTCGGTGGATGACAAGTCTGTAGACTCAGCAGTAGAAGTAGGCTTTTTCAATACAATGCCTGTGAGGCACAGCAGAAATAAACTACTGACTCATGGCAGCTACGAATGGCTCACCACTGCCCATCACAGGCATGAGCAGTCAAAGAGAAGCCCACACACCCACAGACTGGGAACCCACAACAGGGATGGAAAGATGCCAGGACCAGCAGTGACTTATTCCCAGCACACTAGAGTAACCTTGTGAAGGTTTGTTGACAGAGAAGCCCAGGAATGTGGGCCCTGGGACCTCCCACTCACCTACAGAGAAGCGGGTCACATCCACAACATCAGAATCTTGGAGACACAACTAGACTGAACGGTAATCTCAGGACCCAAACACGCAGGAGCATCAAGGCAGCATCATGGCAGGAAGCCCTTTTCTGCCAATGCCCCGGAAGCCCGTACCTGGCTCTGACTAGCCATGTGTCTCCTTCATGTTGGTGCTCATCTTCCTCGCCCCCTGCCCCGAGGCCTTCCCGATAAAGACCTGCCTGTCCTACAGACTAGATGCAGACATTCCAAGGCAATAATAAATTGCTCTTCCATTCCTTGGGTAGAACCGCCATCCTGAGGGCCAGAGATCTGTCTTACTAAGGACTGTCCACAACTAACACAAATCCTTGAACATAGGGAGTTTCTTGACAGGTCTGAAGTTAATGTTATCTATAAAACCCCTGAAAGGTCTGTCAGCAAGAGTCAACATCCCGGGAGGCACGGCTAAGAAGGTGGGAAAGGGGAAAGACTCAATCAGCCTCAAAACTGTCTCCCGGAAACAAAGCCACCTCCTCTTGCCTCCCACACGCATAGCACCGCAGGCAACAGCCCCTGTTTCCCTGGAAGTGAGCACAGCAACTTTACCCCACAGGGGCCTGAGGTGCCCAGAGCAACCAGAGCTTTGCTTCCTCCTCAGCAGCACCCCAGGCACTACAGCCAGGTCCCGCTCTCACTCCATCAACACTTCACACACATAGCTGTCCTGACTTGTCATACTACACTGCAATGATCTGCTGACAAACGCATCCTCCCTACTTGCCCCAGGACACTGGGGAGAGAATGAGTCTAAGCCCTCAAGTACCTGATCCTCTTCAGAAAGGTTCCCTTGCAGCCCCCATTCTGTCTTCTCACCTGTATTCTAGGGTCCAGTTCTTCCTCCTCTCTCGGGGACAATTTGGTCTCACTGCTGCTGCTCCCACCTCCTCCAGGCTCCTCTGAGGCTGGGCTCCTCGGGACCTCATCCTCGACCACCTCTGGCCGCAGCTCCCCTTGTGGGGTTTCCCGCCCCCCTGGAACCTGTCTGAGTTCAGCCATGACGACCGGGGGAGGGCAGAGCCCTATACACATGAGAGGACTGTCATGCTGAGACCAGGGTCCCAGCGTGGAGCTTCCTGGGCTCCGGATGTCAAGGAGAAGGGCTTCCCTTTGCCAAAGGCAGAAAAAGGGGGCGGAGGAAGGACCTCACACTCGGTTAGACGCTGAGATTCAAGGTGCCAGAGGGGTTGCTAGAGCTGTGAAAAAGTTCTTCCCTCCACGCCTCCGGGAGTGCACCAAGAGAGACCCGGAGCCACAGCTCCGAGGCAGGGGACAAAGGGAGCCTGGATCTGGGTCGAGGCCTGCAAAGAGGAGCACCATCCGGGAGTGTGGAGGCAGGCGCCTCCAGGCTGTGGTGGCAGCTGGAGAGTGAAGGCTGGGCCCGAGCAGAGGCTGCGGAATGAGTGTCTCTGGGGAGCTGCGGAGGAAACAAAGGCCAAGTGTATGGCCATGTCAGGATCAGAACCTCGTCCACCAGCCTCTTCCAGCCCTCCAGCCTCCCAAAGACTCCACTCCCACTACCCCATCCCTGTATTCCGACCAGCCCCCACCTCAACTTCTTTCCTCGGCCCTCAAGGACTTTGGATTCTACTCTCCTCCAGCCCCTCCCCACCGGCGCCTTCCAGACTTCACTCTGCGCCCCCAGCCTCTCCTCCATCCCCGGTTCTTCCCCGCCCGTCGGGCTGTGCGATCCACCTCGTAACCCCAGCCCCGCCCCAACTCCTCTTCTCACCAACCCCGAGGACACTCTAAGTCTCCAGTCTCCAACCCCACACTCTCCTGCAATCCCAAGGACCCTGCCACCCGCCATCCTCTACAGACAGGTGCAAAACACCTCCTTCGCGTCCTCACCTCAGTTTACCTTCCAGTACTCGGAGCTCCTAGACTGCACACAATCTTTCCCCTCACTCCCCGCAACAAGCCGGTCCAACCAAAAACGACAGGGCCAAGCGGAAGCGGAAACACATCACTGATATCAACGCCGCACCCTCAACACACTCGCTTGCACTAGCCTCGTCGGAATTCCTCCACACGCGCTACTGCCTCCGGTTTCCGTACAAAATGGAGCGCCACTGGGCCCAGCCTCGCCTTACGCGGCCTCCAGCTAATCCTCCACCAAGCATTAATGAGAGAAAAACGTGAACATGTGGTGCTTGGAAAATCTAAGGCAGTGATGAAAACCGAGAGATCCTGGCAAATAGAGAAATGTTAGAAATAAAACGGAGATTCCATCACCGTCTTAGAGAGAGCGCCGCCATCTTTCTTTACGGACTGCGGCTGTCGCAAAGCCACTTCCGGCCTCGCCCACTGAGGCCGCGGGACGCCGGCAGTGTGTCCGTAAACTTCCGGCTGTGTCCGGTGGGTTGCTCGAGTCCGAGGTCAACCAACTCTGCTGTGAAGATGCAAAGTAGCTTTTCAAAAACGAGTCTTCTCACTGCGGTGAAGTCAGTGGTACCTTAGTAATGGCGTCTAAGCGGACAGCTCCGACGGGTAAATCCCTCTCCTCGAGGCTCTGGCTAACGCCATGACCCCGGGACTACTTGTCCTGAGCCGGGACCTCTCGCCCTGACGACGTTTCGGTAGGGCCACCAAGGACACGGTAGATGTGAATGATGAACTTAGGGGGCGTTAACTCGACACGCTCGTGTACTCGGTGCCCAGAGTTCCTCGAGGAGAAGGCGTTTGTTGCCTGGCGTTGTGTGTCATTACCTGGCTCGATGAGTGGGCCACCTGGTTGTCACTTCTAGGTGTCGCTGGGTGGGGCGAGGGCCTAGGCCTAAGGGGAAGGGCTGCAGGATTGAATTGTTTTGTTTCTACAACAGGTCTGGCTTCCACTGAGCCAACTCAGGGTTGGCCCTGGAGATGGAGGCGGCAACGGGCTGAATTACCTTTCTTCCCTCTGGATCCTGCCAAAGGTGAACACAGCCGGACATGAGGCAGAGCACCTGCTTACAGTCAGAGAAGAGCTGAGCTCTCTTTCTTTTTGTGCAGAAGTGATTGGAGAGTGAGGGAAGGAAGGTGAACGGGTCTTAGTAGAGTCAGAAGTGAAAAATTACCAGGGGTTGGTGAGGGCAAATGCAAGGAGGCCCGGCGTCCCTGCCAACTGGCAGTTAGAGAAATTAGGGTGCTGCCTCCCACTGAGATTGGGAGGCAGATGCGCTGCGCTTCCGGATGACTACATGTCAAAGGAACGGTCCTCAGGTATGTGAGAAGGATCCTCTTGGGTTTTAGGAGATACATCTTAAAGGGAGGACTGAAGGATTCATAATTGTAAGACCTCAGTAAATGCTCTAAGAAAGGGAGTCAGGAGCCTATCGTCAGGTGTTGACTAGAACAAACAGGATTCTCTTGGCAGTGGTGCTCTTTCTCAGGCAGGCACTTTAATGGGTGGCTGTAGTCATCCTAGGGACATGACATCATGCTGCTAGAAGCCATGTCGGAGTTTGTCTTTTAGTACAGAGGCTTGGATGGGGTCATGTGCCAAGAATTCCGCAGTTACCAGTCCCTTTTTTCCATCCCCTCACCCTATTAATAGTCACATATTTTTTAAAAAATGAGTAGAGCCAAATATATTGCTTTTTTTAAAAGTGATTGAAAAGAGATTTTTCTATTAAATGGGATGTTTTATTTTTAAAATTCCAAAAGTGACTTCTCATTTTCGTAAGTCAGTGGTACCCCAAATAACAGTATCTAAGTGGACAGCTCTGGTGAAAGCCTGTCTTCTACCACATTCTTTTTGTTATTAAGGTACCATACAAAAGCCATAAAAACTAAATATAAAATCATTAATATGACATTTGTTCTCTACCAGTCACTTTAAATTTATAGAATTTCACTGTATTAACCCCATGTTACCCAACATTTTTGGCCTATTCTAGCCTGAATTCCATCCTTTCCTACTCAGCACTATCCCAATACCTATTCTTCTTATATCCCATCTTACAACTCCTTTCCTCTTTGCAGTTCTTAGCAATCACAGACTGCTTCTACTTGTTGGTGGGAAAACATCATGAATGCATATAATGCCCAGTCCTCTAGATCACATCCTGAGGTTTTTCTTTTAAGATCTCTCTCTACTGGCCTCTTCCAAGGTTAACTCACCCACTGACACCAAATGTGATTCTGTCAAGTCCAGATTCTAATATAATCCCACAATGGTTTTTCTGCTGGGTTTGCATAATATTTCAGGTAGGAAAAGGTTTGGGGGTGCTGTGTGTTGATTTAACCTAGGCTTGTTTTATTGAAACCGACATAAACATGATGAATTAAAACATTTTTCTTGAGTAGCACTGTCTGTAGACCTTTCTGCAGTAAAGGAAATGTTCTGTATCAGCTCTGTGCAGGATGGTAGTCTCTAGTCACATATGGCCATTGAGCACTTAAAATGGAGCTAGTGTGATCAATGAACTTTTAAAAAAAATTTTAATAGTTATATGTGGCTGGTGGTTTCATTATTGGACAACACATTTCTAGAACCTGTGTTTTCTGTATAACCTCTTCTGGGTACATATTGAACTTTGGCATCTTCAATACAAAACAAATGCTTCTCAATCTCCACTGTCATTTGTCTTCTCTGCACTTTCTCACTTCCTATTTACCTCTGCAGTCTGACTTCTACTCCTGCCAATTCATAGAAATTGTAATGATAAGGTCATCCTTGTTCTCAGTATTGCCAGATCACTGACATCTGACACTGGGTTATTTCTTTTGTACCCTTCAGTTTCTGGTTTCCTCTTATTTCCTAGGTTGTCCTAGGTTTCCTCTTATTTCTCTGATTTGTTGATTCTCTCCTTGCAGTATGGCTTTACTGAGTGTCCATGGTGTGACAGAATTTCAGGTGATGATGAGAAAAAGGACACCGTCTCAATTCCCACATAGGTATCCACATTAGTATCTGTGGTGCTCATTTTATACACTGGAAAGACTCAAAATAATTGGAACACAATCTAGATACATGTTTTACCTTGTAACCCAGTATACATAAATATGTGTAAACTAAATTCATTAAAACGTTCCAGGAAAAGATCTTTACCCAAATTATATGCAATGTTTTATATTTTTAATGCTAGTGGAGACCTTTTTTTGTTGATTTCATGGCCCACCCACAGTTTGGAGACCCTGTCCTGTCAATGCTCCCAGGCTCTGACCATCTCATGCTGCCTCCTTTCCCTGAGTGCCCTTACCCTAGCTACTGCTATGGTCCAACTTTTACCCCTGGCTCCTTACTTGGAGCTTCCTTCTCTGGGGCCCTGTCTCCACATTCTCCCCACAGGTCACATTCTGAGACCTAGCAGCCTCCCAGACATCACTAGGCTTTCACAGGGTTACCTCTCAGTGGGTCCAAATCTTATTTCATCTCCTTTTCCTAAATCCTGCTCCTTCAACATTTACTGTGTTGGTAAGTGGTTCTACAATCCACCCATTTACCCTGGGGAGAAACCTATAAAGCATTCCCCCTCATCACTTTTAATCATACCAAGTGTCTCAGAGAGATTCCTCCCCATCTCATTGCCATTGCTTCAGCTCAGACCCCACCTCACGTCCATCGTAGATAACATACCTCGGGAGTCTGCTAAGTCAACTCTGTTCAACAGCACTTTCAACAATGTAGAAGTTTCTATAAGTTTAAATAATCATATGTGGCTATATGAACAGCACAGATCTAAATGATCCTGCCACAAGGATCCTCAGTTTCTGGCACTAACAGACAGCCAACCAACCAACCCCTATTGACCAACTAATGAGTGAAAGATAAAAATATGAAAGCGTATAAAATGCTACTAACACCATCAACTACTATGTAATATCACAAGCCAACTCTATTTCTTAAGTCGTTTTTTCCTAAGTTTTTTACTGTAACTTTTATTTTTAAGTTTCTTCACATAATATAAGTAGCGTAAATTTCCTCTACTTTTATTGTAGTTTTTTTCTGTCAACAGAAACTACCTTTTATGTTCTTTAACTTTTCCCCACCATCAGTCACATTTAATAAATACCACAATATCAGCATTGTTAAATCAACTAATGTGATTAAACATATTCATTGAGTAATGTATAGGAAGCAGATCAGCAGTTGCCTGGGGGACTGGTGAGAGGGATTACAAAGTAGCATGAAAAACTTGTGGGTTGTGGATATGTCTATAACTTGATTGTAGTGAGGAAGGCCTTACTCTCGGAAGAGGGGTAAAGTCTTCTGCCATACTGTAAGAGCACGTGGTGGGCACATGATGTCTTCATCTCTATATTACACAACCCAGCCAGGTGCAGGCTCAATGAGCCTCAATGAAAGCTTGTGGAAAGGAAGGATTCCTTAATTTAGCCGTGAACTTCTTTGGGTTTCCTCTTCTAACACTTCCACCCCCTTTACTTCCTAGAATTCCTGCCCTGCTCCACCCAGAATTCTACACAGGGCTCTGAGCCTCCTCTGCCATTCTGTCTGAATGGAGTGCATGCCCACTCCTTTCCTGTTTACCTGATCCCTCTGGCAAAAAGCTCAGTCGGCAGGGGAATGGGGATAGAAATTGTTACCTGCAATCACAGTCCTCGATACAAAATCTTGCCTACGTGTTAAGTCAATGAAGTTTGCCAGTGGCCTGTTGCAGAGTTATCCTATTCTTCCTGCTCTTCCTTTATGCCATTTTCTACTTGGCACATGATAGGTTGACAAGGTCTATGGGAGTCTGTCCTCCCTCAGCATGTCCTCAAAGGACTCAGTCTCCGTTTTGTCTCCCAACACTCAGCCCATTTCCTTGCACACATCAGTTATTTAAAAGTGTGCACTCAGGCACTGACTCTGCCCTCAAGCTTACAGTTTAGTAGGGGAAATAAGATATGCACATGATGTGAAAGTACAGGTAAAGGATATAAATACAGAGATAAAGTCTGGTGCATCTTGTGGCCTGCAAAAATATCAGGTTTTCAATAAATACTTGTAGAATTTCTAGATGAACAATTCCAGTGGGGATTCAG